AGGAATCTGCACAACACAAGCCATACGGTAAGGAAGTTGTTGTATATCTCGAAAGTTCTAAATCAAAATCGAAATGAGTGAAAACGAAAAAATTGATGCGTCCGACCCCACATAAACTTGGGATTAAAGCGACGTTGATGTGGATTGTAAATCTGAAAACTTTCATGAACACAAAATGTCTGACTTCATGTCAAGATTTTGTCCAAAGGGTAAGTGCTCGGGGTTTTCTTCTCAATACATTGGCCATTTGCTTGCCATTTAGGCATAATCATCTTAACCATCTTTCTAAAATTTCATGCATAACCTAACCTGCAACAAGTTAAGGTGGTTTTGTAAGATGAGGAAACATACATGAGCTTGCAATTTCTCCACCACATTGTGTTTCTGAAACGGCGTGTTTGCTTTCTGAAACGGAAGGTATTTCCTTGCATGTGGGCGGTCTTATCAACCAGCAACTCTAGACGTTCACCTCTGTCGAGAACTTTGTCGATGTTGTCTATCATGACGTTACGCACCTGTCCACAGAGTAAAATCACCAAGATATGGACATCAGCATGGAACGAAGCCGAATTTCTTATTTGCTTGTGTTGTATGATTGATTCGTGAGAATACGTGTTTATACCCCTAATACAAACTAAACCAGACTAGAGCGGGTTTTAACATTCTAATAGCCTACAATTATTGCTTAGCCGAGCCGATAAATGAAAGATCGCATTTTGCTAAGCCGTCACACTAGATCCCTCCATTGCTGATCAGCAAAGCAATACGTTTAAGTAGATTCTGATGTGGGCTTGGAAGGTTATGGTGAAAAAGATATAGTTCCATAACTATTGGGTAACTATCAGTCACATAAGTTCCGAAAAATGAGAAACATACCTGACTCATTTCACCCTTTATCCGATTGATCCTATCGGCATTCGGATCATTGGAATAATACTCAATCTGCTGACTGATAACTCTGGAGAATTCATCATTCATAGCATAAGCTTGAGCTGAAAAAACCGCCCGGCCATAAGTCCTCACGAACCTCTGGTGAATATCCTCCAGAAACGCAAACGGGATTCTCCCTGAAAAAAAATGCCATTCAAACAAATCCAGAGGAATTAAGAAACACGACAAAAAAAAAACATGGAAAAGACAGAGAACACATGTACTCCACAGTTTCTCCAAATCAGATTGTTTGTCGTGATCCACAACAAGGGTTGAACATATCCATAGAACTCTTTCCATCTAATGTTCTCTCCAAAGAAACAAGTTCTCAATTGGGTTCCTACACCTTCTCCCAATCCAAACCTTAAGCTTTTATTATCTCCTTATCTACCAAGAACATCGAACTCATACATCAGGAAACAACGATTTCAACCAACACCGAAATCGGCGGTCGATTTCTCCATCAACCACCGAGAAACATCATCCCTTCGAACCCATCGTGAAACAGAAACTAAGCTCAGAATTCTCCCGGAAATCATAGATTCTAAGAAACGGGAACGAATCGAACAAACAGTGCAAAATCAAAAGGGGGAAAAAAGGATTACTGACTGCCAGCGGTTTCGTCGGCCATACAGAGGACGGTGAGGCCATCGGTTCGCTTGACGTGGAAGACATACCGATCCTGAGAGTAGGAGACATGGCTATCGTTGTTCCCAGGGATCTTCTCGAGGATCTGCTTCGCGATCGAGCTGGCGTTCGTCGACGTCGCGCTGAACTCAGCAAGCACCACCGCCCCACGCGCCACAAGCGCGTACAGGATCGCCATCTCCGCGGATCCTCACCGATTCAAACCCGCTCGGCGACACACAGATCGCACGCGCCACCAATTCGAAATAATCTCCCTCTCTCTCTCTTTCTCTCTCTCTCTCTCTGCTATAGAAGTCTAGCTGGAGACAGACCTTGTCGGCTTCCCTTCTAACAGGTAACTAAAAATTAAAAATCTAAAATAAATAAATAAATATCAAAATTTAAAAATAAGAAATTAGTTAGCCTTACGACATTCCTTATCCTATTACAATTTTCCATTTGGCGCTTAGACCTTCTGAGAGCCGACAAACCAAAAGGGGACCGACCACTCATTTCGTTTCTTAACTTGATATAATAATAGTTTTTATATACATTTTAAAATGGCGTATTTTTTGAGTTATACTATCTAATTTAGATATGCTTACAATTAGAAATTAATTTGATATAATAATAATATTAAAAAATTGTAATATTCCTCTTCATTGAGACAAAAAAAAATACATATAATTTCAGCATTTTTCGTAATTGAAATATGACCATATGTCTATAAATGTTATAATATTTGAAGCGTGGTCCATTTTTCTCGCATAATTTTTTTAGCATGACCGTACGTCTTCATATAATGGGCTTTTAAAAAGCCCACTAAGGATCGAGTATAGGAAACATTGGGTCTTGATGGCCCACAAATATATGGTCAAGAAGGCCTTTAAAACACTTGAAACAATCCGTTGGAATCCGTCCGATAGATTTACAGGTTTATAAATTCGAAATCTGTTACCAAACTTGAAAATTGCAGACCAAATTGTTGATATGTGAGGCAGAGAGTGAAGTCTTGGCTTTGCTCAGAGGTTTCAATTCTTGAAAAGAGAGAGAAACCTCATTTCCAGAACTTAGAATTGAGAAAATTGAACACATTACTTTCATTGACGGTACAATACAGTTTATATACATGTGAATTCCTTAACAGAAATCTAAGGGAAACCGTTGTACACGTGGTATAACCTTAATATACCCCTTTCAAGCTTATAGCGACTCAAGAATCTGATTTCGGAAGGTATAAGTTTGACATGTGAAATCGCTGCAAAAGATTCTGAAATGTCTGAGGTTGTAATGCCTTCGTAAACGCATCAGCTAACGGTTTTCCGTCTTCACATGTATAAGCTTGAGAAAACCGGCCTTTAATCTATCCCGAACCAAATGACAGTCGATGTCTATATGCTTGGTCCTTTCATGGAAAACAAGGTTTGTTGCGATGTAAATTGCAGACTTGTTGTCACAGAAAATATTTGCTGGACCTGTCACTGAGATATGCAAATCATAAACAAATATTTCAGCCAAATCAGCTCACAAGTCACATTCGCCAAAGCCCTGTATTCCGCCTCTGTACTGCTTCTTGACACAACAGATTGCTTCTTGGCCTTCCACGAGATAAGTGAATTTTCGAGAAAGACAGAATCCAGAACTGACCGACGAGATTCCGAACATGCTGCCCAGTCTGCGTCCGCAAAAGCATTCAACTTCACATCTGATTCTGATGAATAGAACAAGCCTTGCCCAAGGTTGTCCTTCAAGTACCTTACAACTTTGTTTGCTGCTTGCATGTGAACTGTGGTTGGTTTTGATAAGAATTGACTAAGCTTGTGTACTGCAAAAGCAATATCTGGTCTTGTAATTGTTAGATACAATAGTCGACCAACCAACCTTCTGTAACTTGTAATGTCCTCCATTAGTTGACCAGAATCTGATTGCATCTTGCCATTACAATCCATTGGAGTAGTTACTGGTTTACAAGCTAGCAAACCTGTATCTGAAATCAGATCCAAACAATACTTTCTCTGCCAAATATTGATTCCAGACTTATTCTGAGCTATTTCCAATCCCAGAAAGAACTTCAATGGTCCTAAATCTTTGATATTGAATGACTATCCCAACATCTTTTTCAGCTTATCAACAACATCATCATCATTTCCAGCTATCACTATGTCATCAACATAAACCAGTAAAGCTAGAAATGTAGAACCTGATTTCTTCACAAATAATGTATGATCTGCCTGGGATTGTGTGAAGTTATCTGCCAGAAGAACACTTGCAAATTTGTGATACCACTGTCTTGATGCTTGCTTTAATCCGTATAAGCTTTTACGAAGTCTGCAAACCGCATTGTTAGGTAGAACATCTCCATTTGTGTTGTATATCCTGGAGGTAATGACATGTATATCTCTTCCTCCAATTCACCATGTAAGAATGCATTTGTCACATCTATTTGTGTTAAGCTCCAGTTCTGTGTAGCAGCCAAAGACAACAGCAGTTTAATAGTTACAAGTTTGGCTACAGGGGAAAAGTGTCTATGTAATCCACTCCCTCTTGTTGAATAAACCCTTTTGCAACCAAACGAGCCTTATATCTTTCCACTGAACCATCCAGATGCCTCTTGATTTTGTAGACCCACTTACACCCTACAGCTTTCTTCTCGGGTGGCAATGATACAATGGACCAGGTTCCATTATCTGTCAAAGCTTTGAGTTCAACATCCATGGCTTTCCTCCATTCAACAGAGGTTTCTTTGAAAAATTTTGGTTCTGTGAGTATAGAAGTGTTCAACACATAGGATTTATATTGTGGAGTTAGTCTGTCATAAGAAATGATAGAACATAAAAGATATTAGGTCATTATTTCAGGTGGAGAAAAATCTGAGTTTAAAAAATAACAATGATAGTCACTGAGATAAGTGGGTGGTTTGATGTTTCTTTGTGGTCTAGAATTAGAAGGTGGTGAAAAAGAAGTCTGGGTAGGTTCAGCATCTGGGACATAGCTAGGTACAGATGTTTGTCAAGATGCATTAGCATAGTTACTAACATCAGAACGTGAGATGTTAGTATCTGTATTTGGATCAGATAAAGGTAAAGGTAAGATTGAGTTTGGAAATACATTAAGATATTGATTGAGATGAGAATTCTGGCTGGAAATCAAAGGAAAAATGGTTTCATGAAATTGAACATTTCGAGAAATACTCACAGTGTTGGATTCCAAATCAAGAAGCTTGTAGCCTTTGTATCCTAAAGGATAACCAATGAATATTGAAGCTCGTGAGCGTGCAGAGAACTTGTTTCTGTCAGAGACCAATGTTGATGCATAACACAAGCATCCAAAAGCCCGCAGCTGAGTATAATTAAGTTTGTGATTCTTCAAGACTTCATAAGGAGACTTGTTCTGTAACAAAGGAGATGGCGTCCTGTTTATCAGAAACACAACAGTGAGAATACATTCATGCCAGTATTCAATATATAGGTACATTTGACTGGAATAGGAGAGCCCTCACCACATTCAAGATATGTTGATGCTTCCTTTCCACAACTGAGTTTTGCTGCGGTGTCTGCACACATGAAAAGTAGTGAAATATTCATTTGAACTTGAAATACTCAGTGAATGATAACTCTGGAGCATTATCAGATCGAACAACCTTTATTGTCTTATTAAACTGAGTCTGTACAAAGAAAACAAACTCTGGAATACGCTGCAATACATCACTTTTCTGTCTCAACATATAAACCCAAGTGGTTCTAGAATGATCATCAACTATGCTAAGAAAATACCTATGCCCTTCAGTAGAAACAACAGAGAAAGGACCCATACATCTATGTGTATGAGATCAAAGGGTTCTTTGGACATGTTATTGTGAAAAGAAAAAGGAAGACGTTTTTGTTTGGCTAGGTGACAGATTTTGCAATGTGGGATGTCTGTCATCTTTGTGAGTGATAGGTCTTCTGAGAGGACTTTTATTTTGTGGAGAGATGGGTGACCAAGCCTGGAATGCCATAAAACGGAGTCAGCATTCAAGGCATTACATGAAAAAGTGAGTGAAGTATTCGGTTCGAACCTCAGAAAGTATAGACTGTTGTGTAGTCTAGCCTTCCCAATCATCCAACCCCGAATATGCTCCGAATCAAACAAAAATCAGGTGAAAAGGTAACATGGTAAGGGTTATTTCGAATGAGTGAGCTGACACTAATAATGTTGAAAGAAAAAGTAGGGGCATAAAGTACATCCTGTAACTTAAGATGATGATTAACATTCACAGTTCCAGCATGAGTTACATGTATTTGACTTCCATTAGGCAGAGTTACAGTCACAGGATTGATAAAATGTATCTCTGACAACATGAACTTCTGTGAACATACATGACATGATGCACCAGAATCCACAATCCAAGAATTCAAACATGTAGGCTTGTCATCTACCAACATGTGATTAGCAACATATATGAGATTACCAGTGTATTGATTCATATCAGGTGCCCCCTGCTCAGTGATAGTTGGGCATGAAAGATTGAGTTGAAAATTGATCTTGTTCTGAAGATCTTGAAGTTGTTCTGAAGACATCAACGTAATATCCGTAAAGGACTCAGAAACAACTGCATTAGTAGTAAAGTTCGCCACAACAGGACGAAGTTGACCAGTTCCATGAAACTGTGGTTTAGAATTCTGCTGAAATCCTTGTCTTGGATTATTTTGAAAACGCTGATCTTCAGTATTTGGAGGTCTCACATTTTGAGAATTGAATCTGTATCTAGGTGGATACCCATGCAACTTATAATACTTTATAACCAAATGACCATACATGACACAATGGGTACAAAGAGGACGTTGTTTGTTCTTGAAATAACCCCCTGAAACTGCAGCAATTTGTTCTACTGAGACTTGTGGAGTAACAAATGTCTGATAGACAAGATTGTCTTGAGAAATAGGATTCTTGATTCGACGTAGCTGCTCATGTTGAATGATCAGGTTATATGTCCTTTGTAGATCAGGGAGAGGCTCCATCATAATAATCTGACTTCTAATAGATTCATATGAATCATTCAGCCGAAACAAGAACTCCATGACAAACTTTTCTTCTATATCCTTCGACCATTTCTGATCGATGTGGCAAGAACAATTTCCACAAGTGCATATAGGCAGAACCTTGACTGTCTTTAGTTCTTCCCATAGAGTAACTAATTTGGTGTAAAAAACAACAATTGTCATAGATCCTTGCTTCAGATTATTCAGATTCTGTTTGATTGTGTACCATCTTGGGAGATTATTCTGCTGATACTGATTCAATAGACTTTGATACATTGCTCTAGCAGATTTGATGTACAATAAACTTGCAGAAATATGAGGAGCAACCGAATTCAAAATCCAGCTAATGACCACAACATTATTCTTCTTCCACATACGAAGATTAGGATCATTATCAGAAGGTTTAGTTAAAGTACCGTCGACGAAGCACATCTTGCTCCTTGCTTTCAAGAGCGATCATTAAAGATCGTTGCCAAGAATTGAAGTTTTCTAGTCTAGAGAGACGATCATAAACCAGATTCAAGCCATAATCGTTGTTCGAGAGCTGATAGTGATCTTCACAAGGTTTGGTTGCGGCGGGGGAAGC